GGACTCAAATGATYTGACTGGATAGTGGTAAGGGAATAGTTTTCATAAAAATGTCTAAATACAAACAGAAATCTGGAGTCCAACCTTCCATTTGCAGTCAATTCCTTCAGCAGCCAAGTCCCAATAGTAACTCAAGATATTTCCAGTGAGAGAATAAGCAAGGTATGGAAGATCCTGCAGGCACATTGCCTGTTCTAAAYACAAAAARGGCTCCAAAGGGASRATTTAGCAAATGAAATTTAGTGCCTTGCACAGCCAGCATTCATGTGAAGGACTACAGTCTACCAACCAGGTACACTGATTTCACAGAGTCCCCTGGAGCTCTTGTCTGATGCCCCATAAGTTTCCAGTTGTCCAAACCTTGGGAATCACTGTTAAACAGCTTATTTTAGTCTTGCTACATATACCAAAGTTCAAATAGCTGGACTTCTTTTGGTATTTGAGCCTGTGATGATGATCATGAATTTAATCAATCAAAGGAATTTGCAACCACTTCTCAGAGGCCTGGAAAAAAAAGCAGCCCTGGAAGCCAAGGAACAATGAATGCACTGACAATAGGTATAGAGGGACTTGTGCAGAAATATCTGCATGTGCATGTGTGAAGGGAAAAGACAAGATGAACTAATCCCTTTCCCGGGGCTATGCCTTTACTCTTTCAGACTGGCACGTGTCTCCTTTGTTTTCGATAATAAGAGGTAATTATATCTGAAATGTTATACTGTAAATCCATCAGGTAATTAAGGGAATTCAAACTGCACAGAACTATGGGAACATTTAAGCATGGATTAGGGACAGGGACTCTGAGAATCACACTCTGTGTTTTCCATCCCTTGGCTTAAAGACTCAGGCAGTTTGCTGCTTTCCCCAGGGACTGTCTATCTCCCCACCACAAGATAAGGGAACCACATGCTGATTCCAGGGAGAATCACTAGTGTGGCAAAACAAAACAGCCTTCAGAGAGGGGTTTATGGCTTGTGTTCCCTTTAATTTTTTTCTGACCCTTCTTATCACTAAACAAAAGCTTGTGGTCTTTTCTAGATAATCACATTTAAGCTCTTATAAAACCACATGCCTGGATAAAGCAAGACTTACACAACTCGGATGAAGCTTTTTTCCCCCAGTGTAATTATTATTGAAGAAATCTATCATATTTTACAGCAAAGCCTAAAATGCAAATCACTTAATTAAAAATACAGATGAAGCAGCGTATTTCCAAATCCTCTCGCCCACTACCCCTTACATTTGCAAACAAAAGAAGGAAGAAGGAAGGAGTACTAAAAAGGGAGACTCATTCTTTGGTCAYAGCATCACCAGTGACACTCACCTCCCATGGGCAGTGAAGGAGGGAGGGCCTCAGTTCTGCATGGGACTCTCCAGGACAATGCTGAGGGATGGTGCTGGTGAAAGCAGGGATCTGAGTGACAGGGGRCAGGGTCTGACATTTTTCACATCTCTCCTTATTGGTCTGCTGGCCAAGCTCAGGGCCAAGGCATCAGTACTTGTTTAATGCGGGCTTGGCCTTGCTGCTGCTGGGAAGGTGCACATCTGTGCACAGCTGGGCTGCCATGCCAAAAGAGAGGAAGGCGCCATGTATTTCCTTACAGAAAAGGGACAACAGGGTGGTTTGAGCACAGCCTCAGACGTGGGCATCACCAGAAAAACAGGGCAGACATCAGGAACTAGAGATTGTGTGGGTCCTGCTGGGTCTACCTTGCTCCTGGCAAACCATATCTGACATTAACAGCAGAGGCAACAGTCAATTGCACCTTTCTTCTCAATAGTTCTTTCCAAACATGATCAGAGACTGATTTTCAGAGGGTGATCTTTGGGCAAGGAATGCCATTACTTATGCCACAGTCACTTGGGATAATATTTATTACCGATAGGCTTTTATGGGGCAAGCTCAGGCAAGGCAGAGCAAATCACTGCTTCAGGGCAGMCCTTGACTTATAACTGCAGAATTGCCAACACCACAAAAAGTCAAATGCAGAATGGAATATGAGTGTACAGGGCTTGACTCAGAAACCATAAGATTTGGTGAGGTACTTCTGTTGTATTTTGGGKTGTACATGGGTCATATTCTACATAAATGTAAGGGCTAGAAATTAATTTTGGATTGTTTGGAGAGGATTGAATTGTATTTGATTGGTTGTTTTTTATGACAACTCAACTTCTTGGATAATAACTTTTTTTTTTTTTAATAGCACTGTAAAATTCAGAATACAATTATGAGTATGGGCTGCATAGTAACTACTAATCCCAGTTCTGCAACCAGCATTGCAAAAATGTTGATTAAAAGCTAGACAACATTTTTCCACTCACCACACTTGGATCTTTAAACAAACCAAATATCTTCTTAATTCAAGTATCATCCAATATTAGTTGAAACCTTTAGATTGGCCTGGATTTGTTTCCTTGCTGGACTAAGAAGGACAAGTACTCCACCCTTTCTTTTTAACTTAAGATGTATCATTGAAGTTACTTGGAACAGGGTGCAGGGACCATCAGGAACAGATTAAGCGTAACAAAATCTTTGTGAGGTTAAAAACTGGGCAAGCTGGTCATTTGAACTCTGTGATGGGTCATTTGTCTGTAGCAAACCAAACTTCCCAAAAACCAACATAATTACAGGTGTCTACCTTAAAGGTGTTGCATGAGGGTTTCTGTTGTTACTGGAAGATGCCCCAATGGAAATGCCTCCATAAAGCTTTTAAGGAGCCACAAACTCGGACAGAGCGGACGGGTGGACTGCAGACTGGGATTTATTTAGTGARAGGCGTGAAAAGCCAGCAATCCAGCCCAGCATTCCCTGGATTTTGTCTCTGGCACAGGAAGGGTTTGCATGATTCCCGCTTGTGGCTTCTATTTTAGCCTGTGATCATTGCTGGGATGCTTGGACACAGCTGTGCCGGTTCATTAACTGCCCAGCACGTCACTCAGCCCAAGCAAATGGCTTTGGGGTAGTGTTTTCCAGTGACTCGAGGGGAGGGTAGAGCTCTCTGTGAGGAAAGGAAGGTGTTGGTCGAGGAGATATTTGATAATCTCCTAAGCTTCATTTAAAATGAAGTGCAGGAAAGAAGACTTCGTCAGGAGCAAGGCAGATTCCCATAGCAAAAAGGCTGGGACTCAAATGAACATTTCAGGAACAATTCTCAGCCACTGAGAAACCCTTATGAGACCAAGACCAYGAAGTGATTGATGGACCAGTATCTCTCTCTGTGTAACAGCCAATATCTGTAACAGAGAGCTCACTGCTCCGGTGGCTTTCCCTGTAGGCTCAGAAGCGAGCAGTTTGAGGGTACTAACTGGACACTATGAACAAAGGAAATGGACCCACAGCATCCCCACCCTTTTCTGGTCATCACATCCTGCTCCCAGCCGAGAGCCATTCACAAAATTAGAGCACGCTTAAGCCTTGCCCTTGAATGCTTGGGTTTGGAAGGTGCCCTGCCCTATTCCAGAAGCTCTGTCAGGGGTGTGCTGAGCTGTGCAGCTGCTAGCTGGGTGCTGTTTCCAAAGAAACAGGGTCCACATCCTGCTGCAAGTGACTCATGCTGAGATCATCCCACTCAGAGGAGACAGAAGKAGCTGTCCCACCTCATCCTCCAGGGAGGACTTTGCGTGGAGGGGCAAAGCAGGTGCTGCAAATGGGGAGGTTTGGGGATTTTCTTGCGCAAAAGAGACGAGACAGCCCCTAAGGAAGATGCTGTCTGCCAGCCCACACTATRGCATCCATCACAGTGACAGCCCTTGGCCAGGGGCAGTCTGGGAGAAGCATCCCTGGCACGCTGGCACGCCTCCGCCCCTTCCCCGAGCCGAGCAGGGCTGGAACCCCTGCACCGCCCTGCACTTTCCCTGCTCCTGCCTCCCCACGGGCATTCAGACAACCCCATGGCTGCTGTTAATCCTTTCCATGGGGAGTCTCTGCAAGAGCACCATGGGCCCAGGTAGAGTTAGGGGCTGTGGATATTTGGCTTTAAAGGCAGGAAATCCACACAACACCATGACAAGCACGAAGTCCCTGTGACTATTGCCGTGCTGGTACTAACCCCGTCTCAATAACCAGCTGTGGAAGCCACTCATCCTTAACATTTCCCAAGGCATCTAAAACTAGTTCTGGTTTAAAAATCAGATTCAGGCTTAGGTCAGCAAGAAGTGAGCCCAGCAGCCCTGGAGCTGTCATTTGAGCCCCTTACTGTGGCACAGCAATGCTCAGCATGAACCATTGAGAGGTCTATCATTTATACCCTCACATCTACACCTCTAGAAACACAGATGCTTAAGAAAATAAGGACTCTAGTGTTACTTCCCAGTCCATGCTGGTCTGCTTGTCAYGGGGCTGTTCTAGCCTTTGACCTGCTCTGTTACAGTCCCACAGACCCTTCCATTCACRTGCACTCACATGTGCCTGTACCCACAGGCTGCTGACTCCTGCTCCTCCAGGCAGGCACTACTGCTCCAATTGCCCACTGGAAACCCAGCTTGGCCCAAAAACTAAACAGTGACAAAAACACATTTCACTGCTCTTCCTGCAAAATGCTTGAGCTCGTGAAAGTTGAACACATGAAAGCAATCTGAGGTTAGCGTGTAATACAAAAACCACATGAAAGAGGTAATTTAGCATTAGACACATGTTACCAGAAGCAGGTTGAAACTAATGCAGGTTTTGCATTCAGATCATAAAATTTAGCCCTCACATTGCCTTGTGAGGTGTCCCTACTTAGCATGCCTTGATGGGRGAAGAGCTACAAGTACTTCAATACTGATACAAGTTGAACACAAAAACCATCCTTTTCCTTCACTCTTATCACCCACTCCATGAAAGAGGAACTCACAACCACAGGACAGCTTCTGARTGGTGACAGACAATCCAGGAAGAATATGAGTCAAAACCATTTTCTGTTCCCATTCCAAACCTACTGAAAGGCCACACCAACAAGCTGAATCCAAGCACTCAGGCAATCTTACAATGCTGTTTTTTCATCACTGCCACAACATACCTTAAAATCCTGTTGCCAGCTGGAGCACTGGAAGGGAGAGAAAGTGGATCCCAGCACTGCCCATTGACTGTGGCTCTGGGATGGAGGGATGAAGGCAGAGATCARCTTCCAAGCAGCATTAAGGAGGTTCTTTTTCTGAGCCTGGAGAAAATCACACACAGCCTGATGTTAGAAATGTCTGTCCATGGTTGACTCCTKCAGGAATCAACCATATTGCCACTATTTTTTCAGAACTCCAAGCACTCACTCTCATTTTAGCCCAGAAAAAAAATCCAACAAATTAAATTTATTTCAAACAAGATGAAGTTCTGAAAATAGAGCTGTGTTGCACCTTTAAAAATTGYGTTGGCAGAGGAACTGGATTTACTTTGAAAGTTAGTTTGGTATGAAAGAGCTACACAGCAAAATGCTAAATCCCTTTAGAGAACAGAATGAAATAAAAGCAGATATTTCATCTCTTAACACCTTGTCAGCAAAATTCTCTTTCTTGGGGAAGATTTTTTTTTTCTTTTGGAAAATGATTGTGCTAGTTTGCCAGTGAAGCTTTTCTAAGAACAACATAGYTGCTTTCTCACCCTGCCTCTCCCAACACTTCAACACTCCCTTCTGCAGCCCAAGCCGAAAATTCTTCCCCTTGGGGCCTGTAATGAAGCTCATAAAAGTTATTGGGAGAAAAAGCTGCACTGATGTAGAACCCACTTCCCTCTTTCCTCCCTCTCCTCTAAGTTCCTGACCCTGACTTTCAACTAGTGTCCTAGCTGGAGTTTCAGAAATGGATTTGATTTATTTCTACTGATGAGCTTTACACAAAAATAAACCCTTCAAGGGGCACTAAAAATATGAAGATCAATCAACTCAGAGTTAGGCTGAAAAAAACTCCAGCATGACCGATGGCCTGACTTGCTAATGATGTACTGGCAAACACAATTCAATTGATCTTGTGGTCCACATTCAACCCAGCCTTCTAAAGAAAAATCTGGATAGAAATGTGAATATTAATCAAAGCACACTATCACTGAGAAAGGTTCTATAAACATTCTGGGCTTGCAGCAAARCTGCAGAAGAGGACAGCCTATGTCCTATTTTTAACTCTTTATTCACCAGCTGAGAATAGCTGGAAGAATAGCAAAGGTATCACACACTGACCTTAATTAAGGCAGTGATTCACCCTTTGCTCTCTGCACACAAAGTGGAACAGCGTGGAGCTGGAAGGTTGACATGCCAAGAGAGTTTAAGTGAAGAGTTAATATTTACCGTGCAGGGCAGCTTTTGAGGGAGAATACAGGGTTCCATATAGGGTTCCTGATAGAGACATTATCCTGGAGAACACACACAGTCATTATTCTGTTTTCTCTGGAGACCTGGAGAAATACAAGGGTGAAAGRTATTGGTTTTTAAAAGTCTAGAAATCCCAAGTTAATTCATCACTGACCCTTATACAAATAGAGCTTTCATCAATTTAATTATATATTTATTTTACAAAACACCAAAACTTGCAACATCCAGAAAACAGTAATATTTTTTTTCGTTCCTCACCTAATTTTCTTGTTACAGGTAAAATGTCTTTCCAGAACAGCTTCAGAAAGAGTGTTTTCCTTGTAAGAATCCACGCAATATATTTCAGCATTGTTTTTGCTTAGACTGGATCCTCACCAAGTTAATTTCAACAGCAATCTTTTCTTGGGGACTTTTCTAAGGGGACTCAATATTGCCACTATATTGAAAACGGGAAAAATTCTTTTCAGCTYTATTATTAAGTTGTTCCAGAGGTTTCCAACTCATCCAAACCAAAGTMATTTCTTTATAAAACAAGATCTATTTTAAAAGGTAATATTCATTATATATCTACCATTGCTCCACAGAGGTATGGAAKGTAATCATCACACAACCTATCTTGAATTCCTATCAATTTCTGATAACTAAAATATTTACATCACTTTGCAGTCGTGATACCAAATGCTTTCAGTTGAAACAGGGAACTACATCTCTAGCTATCACATTGATAAAGAGCTTTAAAGAGAAAAAATTAACAAGAAGCATCCCTTAGAGTTCCTGGGGGATGGGATTTCAAAAACCCAGTTTTGCACAAGCAGCTGAAAAACCCCACCTGTTCCAATGTCCAAAGAAGGTCAGGGGCCCTGGTAGGTGTCAGCATGGAGAGCCTCATGCAGCACCACGACCAACTGTGGGCCCTTGTGCTGGGCTCTCTCCACAGTCTGGGTAGGAGTAAAGAAAGGGAAAGTTTGTGCAATAAAAATGGGGAAAACTARGAGTACAGAATCAACTTCAATCATAGCAGAGTCAGAGTCTTACAAAAGTGCTTCTGGAGAAAGCTATATATAGACATGAAAGTAAGCAAAAAACCTCCCTTGAAATGAAACATTTCAGATCAAGGCTTCAGCAAAATTTCCTTGTTTCACATCATCCTGGTGGCAATACTTTTCTGTAGGAGGAAGCAAAGTGGCCTCTATTTGGTAAATTCAGGGCCCAGAAATCAAAGCAGCCCAGTAGGGAAGTGGGAAAAACCCACAAGTCTGGTTTTATTTGAAGAGTTTTGAGTGGTCCTAGAAAAGCAGATCAGAAAGTAGTATTTCTAAAACGTCCAGAACTCAGATTCAAGGCTCAGACATCCTCCAAACTTGAGGGTTGATCACAGTCAAAGAATATTGGGATTCAATCCCAATTGAATGAACACTGAGATGTGTCATGCCCCTTTCTGTTTCAAAGGGCTGGGCAGAATTCTTTYTCACAGGGCAGGCACAGTGTGGGCAGCAGAAAGGCAGAATTTCTCACTGTGCCACTGCCAATGTGCTTTTTTTTTTTGTTGCCCAAAAGGAGTTCTCTCCTCAGAGAGGAAGGTAGGGTCACAGCCAAGGCCACAGAGCACCACACAGACTGACTGGCTGTCAAAACTGGGAACATCAGGGGCAGGACCTGGCTCCAGAGAGATTGTTCTGCTCTTCCCTGCTCTCYGGTGTCCATTTCACAAGTGTTGGTGGATCCTTCTGCCAGACCATGACTTCAAGCCTTGGAGGAAAAGAGCCTGACCCTAATAGTTCATTGAAAACTTCCTGCCCTGCCCTCTGCCAAAGGCTGTGTGCTGATATGGGAATTGTAAACATGGGGAAATGGTTTTAAAATTAGCATTGGTCCCTAAACTATTCTTATGGTCAAACAAATCTCACATACGAATTCTTCCATAAATTCTTCCTTTTTCTATTCAATCCTACARTGAAGCTGACGAATGGAGCTTAGGATCAGACAGCAGAATTAGTATCTTGAAAGATTTTGTGTGTCTAGCTCACGATTTGGAGTGAGAACCCTCATCTATAAATTAACAGAGCCAGAGGGTGGCAATGGTCAGCTAGGTGCTGAAAGGATGCCAGACACAAGGCTGCTMTGAAGGAATATCCTGCAGGAACCTGAGCGTAACTGATGGGAAAAGCATCCAATCTCTACTGCAAATGATGGAATAAATCACAGCCCTGACTTTTGGTCCAAGAWTGGTTTCCTCACCTAAATGAAGACTTATGTGCAGTATGAACTCATCCAACTTCAAACTACTAATTCTTATTATACTACTGCCCAAAGGAGCTTCTGTTTCTGAATATCCCTTCCTTATGTGGCATACTTGAAAACCAGACTTCTCTTGAGYTGTTGTTTGGTAAGCTGAGGAGATGGACTGTGCTGTAAGGCGTGTTTGCTGATCCTCCAGTCATCCTTGTGGCTCCTCTCTGAAAGATTGYCAGGTTTTCAACATCCTTCTTTAATTGTGGGTAGCACAGCTGGATGGAGGGTTCCCAAAGCATTGCACCAATGCCAAAGAGCAGAAAATAATCCCTAAGTGCAGAGACAGGGAATACCAAGGAGGCATTARAAAGGATCCAAGGATTGTTTTAGACCCTTTGGCCACAGGACTGGAGTGAGGGATGACACTCAGCCAGATATGCATTCAAGCCCGCAATCATTTTCCAGATTCCTGTTTCTCAGCCCAGTCTATTCCATCTGGTATACAGATTGCAGATTTTTAATTTCCTTTACCTGTAAGATCCTGAAAAGAAAAGTTATTTGCTATTTCCATTCTATCAAAGGATCCCAACCCTACTAAACTGGTCCTGCCATCTSCTAACACCAGCAGAGTGGAGTTCATCCTTTCCTACAGTAACTGCCACACCATTAAGCCATTCAGCACAACAAATAGATCCCACCAGAAACACAACTATTTGATGTACTTACACTTTCAACCTATTTACAAATCCCACTTTGAAATCTGTAACTGAAATGGTTGGRATCCATTTGCTATTTCTTATTTGATATTATACCATTAGAGGTTATGAAAGAATATGTATGGGAGCAAGCTTAAGGCATAAAGGAAGTTCTTACATCAACACTACTGTAATAATCAACCAAATAGATATTTTTTTTTAAATCCAGTTGAAGATGACCAGAATTAATTTCCAAAAAACAGTACTAGATGCCACTTTATGTGATACATTGCTTTCGTTGTCATTCCTTATGCATTCCCTGCATATCCTTGAATTTCCTTGAATTAATATTAATGTTAATTATTAATGACCCTAGCAATCTATTTAATATATTGATCTAAATTTAGATTTTTTTTTAGCCTCTAGAACTTCCACAGTGCTTCTTATCAGAAGTCAAATAAGAACCTAGGGAGCTCTTTGGCTTTGTACCGCTAGGATTTGAAGTTAGAAAAACCCAGTGAGATTTGCATATGTAACTTTAGAACCTGATTAATATACTCCCAAGTACCAATGAAGGGAAAATTATTCCATTATCCAAGAAAACATTCATCTTCTGTTTATTCATAAGGTACAAAGAAGGTTCTTTTTGTACCACTATTATCAGTTTTATCACAACCAGTCAGCCAATTGAACTCCTATGGATTATTTGGTTTAAACTCTATTATCRTCTTTATTTATCTGATTTTCAAAGTAAGAATGTCCTAATCAGACCTTCCTCGAGGTGCCAGCATTGAACTCTRATTGGCCATTGGTGTGCAAAGTAGCAGAAGAGTTTGCACGCTTATGAAAACAAGGAATCCTAGCATCCTAAAATAGATCTGGTGAACAACATTTTTACAGGCCACAAATTTACTGCAAGAATCCCAGTACTTTCTTACCCTCTGAAAAACTATAGGTTACTTTCTGCCTCCCTGGTGACAGCCCCACTGTTCACTGGTTTAGCTGCTATCTCCCTGGGAACAGGGACTGCAGATTCCCAGCAGTCAGCTGCTGAGGGAGATGCTGTTCCAGAATTAAGTTTGTGATTCCACCGAAGGTCATTTTCTCTCCCCGTGTGCAGGCGAGCACAGCCCAGCTGGTGCATTAGAATAAACAGATGCTATCAGCACCGGCAACAAATTATCTTCCTAGGTTTTGTAATTTCTGGAGAGTAGCAGGTTGTAGCAAGTCGATTTACATTGAGGATGGAGAGGGAGGGAAGCAGAGGTTATATTGGCATTAACGAGCAATTCAGTACAAGGGAAAAGGAACAGTGAATTGGAACTGGACAGCTACATTGTGACAGAAGCCATTATCTGCGCACCCATATTGCTCCTAGCGAGGTACACAGCCAGCCAGCTGTGGGGATATGGAGGTTTCACACCTGAAAGGGATTTCTGCTTTATACTCAAGGGCAATAAGATCAGAGAGTATGTGCATAGCCATGTAAAAGTTTAGGAGGTGTAACTGTCCACATGGGAAGTAATTCCTTGCACCAGGACTTGAGGATACRCTGCAGCAGGAGGGGACAACCCACTGTTTGTTTGCTGTTTCCAGGAGAACACTTTCCTATGGCTGATATTCCAGACCCAAAACCAGAGTGGTGGCACAGTTGCACTCAGGAAAACKTCCACTGATTYCCWGCAGGAGTGGGAGGGCACACCTCCCTATATGTATTCAGATACACAAATATTTTAGCCTATAGTAYTATGCCTAAGTACCTGCCCATAAATTGTCAGATCTGGCAGAAAGACTCGGAAAAATTTCATAATGAAATGAGGACTGGAGCTCCCATGTTTCTAAAACCCAACTCGGGGTGCCAGAGAAAAAGACTTTCTCTATTTCTGTGACCCAGGCTGGTCTCTGCTAGGTTCAGACAGAGTACAAATATCTATTTGTGCCCAGAACTGCAAGATAAGCCTGAAGTTTATGTAATTTCTCCAGATAAGGYACCCATTAAAGGCAGGTCCGACACCTCTGCTTTCAGTCATGTTATTTTCAACACCCATTTTGCACCAGCACACCAAGTCTGCACTGCTTTTTCATAATATTTTCCTCAGTGTTTTAAGGAGAAATCATATTTCTGATTGGGACTGGGGAGCAATGAAACCATCTGCTGCAATCTTATTTGCAGAAGACAGCAGACACTCATTTCAAAACTGGTCTGGCTTTATCATCACAGTRAAAGACGCAATTTCAGCATTCCTCTGTTGGGATGGAAAGACAAAGCTGCCACACATCTCCATGCAGGTGATCCTTCCTACCTCCAGACTCAACATTTTCCATCCCATATGTGCTKGCAAAAAATACTTATTCCAGCACCCTTTGGCTCCAGCTCTGTTGTTTTCTACTGCTGTCAAGAAAATATCYGCAGATATTGATGAGTTTTGATGTTTCACTCCTATCAATCCACAGCTGCCTACACAATCTGGTATTAGTTTGCATTTGCCCAGCCAAAAAAGGAAACTAATCCTACCAGTCCTGAAAGACTTCAGWACAAATGTGAGGGGGTAAGCTGCTCATGAATCTCAGAGACAGAGAAATTCCTTTCGTTTTTGTATAAGAACATATTTATATTTTCGGTCTAGAAGAACACACAAAATTTAGTCATCAGCTTTGTGGGCTACGTTAGAGCTAGAAGCAAAAAAATTTAAGAACCCCAGCATCACTTGCATAGCATTACAAATATTACTTATGTTCCCTATCAATTCTTACAGGGKTTTTTTTTGGACACAACTTTTGACCATTTTCATATGACTACAAGGAAGCTGTCTCAATTGATTTTTCTATCATAAAACAACAGAAATTTCACATGAGGCAGTTCAGAAAGTCAGGTTCTAAACTGGACATCATCCTTTAGGTACCTATGTGCTTCTACCTGCTCTCCTGATCCTTAATTTCTCTTACCTGGCAGAGTGCA